AATGATGAGACCTTACCGCCAATCTAGTAGTACGCTTATATTCATAAAGTCTAAGTACGAAAGAGGAAAGCTCATCAGAACAATTGCCATGAAAGTATTTAGAGAAAAGGCACAGGGAAGCTACGCTACAGCGGTGGGAAATTGACTAAAACCGAGATGTCAGGTCAGGACAAACAACATTGCAAATTCTTCTTTGTATTATACATAACAGAAGCACCAGAACAGGTATGATTCATGGATGAATTGTAGATTTATAAATGTGTCAGTTAGATTCTGGTGGGAAAAACTGTCTAGCACAACACAATGAACCACAGTGAACCAACTTTCCTAGCATCAGAACTAGCAATTGATTCAATATAATCTTTCCACTTCACTTCAGTGGAAAAGGTTAGTCCTAGAAGTTGCAAAGAGTCAATCTACAGGAGGTTAGCATCAGCTATGCTGATAAAAGACAAGAGAGGTTCTCTCAGAGAGCAATTTCTCAGAGAGAGAGAGAGAGAGAGAGAGAGAGAGAGCAATTTCGTTTTGGAAGCCTTAAAATTAACAAGCCATTTCTTGTCCCTGTTAACAATAGACTGTAGGTCATTTTTAGATCAGTTGCCAATTTGACGCTATTGAGTCGATCACATATATCATTAGGACAGGAGTAAATAGTTCTTGATATTAGCTTTCTTGTCGTTATTATTTTTATTAATATTAAGCGAGAGAACAGCACGCCAACAAAGTGAGGCTGGGGTACAAAGCTCAATGGATACGAAACTCAATGTACCCATCATGACACCCAGTCTGAAAAGGATATACCAGACACATGCATCACAGCCAAATGTGCGCGACGTACTGACAGCTTTTGATAAAATCATTATATTCACTTGCAGGTGGAGCACAGTTAGAAATACATACCGGCTAAGAAAACCAGTCCACTCAGGCGGTCTCCGGTTGAGGCTTTTCCCAACTGTCTAACTGTGACTCCCAAGTCGCCTGGGCTGCCTCATCCAACAAACTAAGAAAAACAACTTCTCGATACATGGCCATGATGCTTCCCCACTAGTGTAACTCATGAAAAAAAGATGCACAGATCGTCAGCCCTTAGGCGTCATGGTCAACTGATTGAGGTCAGGCAACTGACCACCAATCAATGTTACTGAGCGATATATTTACTGTAGCCTATCAAAAAAAAAATATGTATATTCCAAAACCTCCACGCAATTAAAATCAGAAGCCATTGTTATTATTATTATTGTTTATTTTGATGCAATTGTCATTGTTATTAGTGTATCGCTGCTCGACATTCTATGATCAGTGTAGTATCTGTCAAAAGGTATTACACATATACATACTATATAAAGGGTGTTTCATTAAGACGGATCACATTCAGCAGTAAATAAATCAGTGTTATCGGTGAAAATTTATTTTTTTATTGGATCATGTCATTTAACTCATGGAAATTATGTGTGAAAAAAAATATCGCCCAAATGTCCGCCAAGGCTTCTGCGGCACACCTCCACTCAATTTTTGATGATGTCTCGGCATAATTGCTCCTCGGTCTCACCAATAGGCCTTATTATCTCATCCTTCAGCTGTTGAATTATTGTTGGCTTGTTGGCATAGACCTTACTTTTAAGATGACCCCCAAAGGAAGAAATCTAAAGACGTCAAGTCGCATGATCGTGATGGCCAATTGACTTCGCTGTTTCGAGAGATGATGCGACCTGGAAATTTCTCATTCAAATTCTGTTTAAACGTTCATTTTCGTAATAGGCTTTGATAACTTTAACACGTTCTTTGAATGTTAATCCTTCCATGGTTGAAATTGCCAAAGACTTAAGTTGTTAAATGTGAAAGTAAAAGAAAAAAACATTAGACACTTAAACTTAATTCACATTTAAAATCGCTCTAAGTTATTGGAACACCCTTTATATATATATATATATATATATATATATATATATATATATATATATATAGTATGTGTGTATGTGTGTGTGTGTGTGTCTTTTATTGAACAGATATGTCTATTAAGCATTTTGGTGATTTACCCTGGTGTCGAATAAGTTGTCTGATGTCAAATTGAAACTTATAAACGATTTTCGTCACGCTAGCGTTTGGATATTTTCACTTCTACCCCGATTTCCATTTTTTCCGTCTTTTAATATTTTTTTTTTAATCGGGTTCTATCATTCTGTTTCAGTGGCACCAGCAATGACAATTAGAAACATTACATTTCTATCCGACAATTTTTTTCATTTTTTTTTTCAAAAGTTTAGACATTTTTCTCAAGGTTTTCACTTTCAGTTTTATTGTGTCTTCTGCTCGAAAGGCGACACATTTTCTTTCCCTTTTTTTTTTTTTTTTTTTTTTTTTTTTTAGCAATCTCTTCTGACCTGAATTTGGTGGTCAGTGGGATTTACAACATTCTACAGAATTTTACTTATCCTATTTGCTAGATCAGTTCCCAGCTGTAGGATATGCCATTAGCTTGCATGGTATTATTATTTCCATTTCTCCTGATTTGCTGTTTCATAAAAACCTTAAGCAAGTCTTTTATCTGAGGTAAACGAAGAAAATCATTAAACATATTAGAGTTAGAAATTTATTCTGCGTATATGATCGTAAGTCTACTCTTTTTGTATTTGAGCCAGTCAGAGGATCTATGTAAGTTTTTTTTTTAATGTGTGTATCATTATTATTTTTAATTATTTTGTGACGTACACTGGCCGATAATAGTTAAGTATAACTCAAGACTTCAATGTTAAGATAAAACAGTATTTAATTACAACCGCAAACAAATACTTAACAAATACTTAACAAGAACAAAGAAGTAAAAGTCAACCAAAAATAATTAACCATTTCAGTGAATACCTTGTTAGTCGGGCGGCTCGGCTTAAAGTCCGGCAAATCCTAAATCCAAACCCAAATCATCGATGTACAATAATTCACACTAATTCAACTGGATAGTGTCACTCAATAGTCACTGCAGTCAGTAGCCTGACACCGCTATTTATACACCTGGTGGAAAGCATGTATTCATAAGTCCAGAGTGTCACCTCAGTATCGGTAGTTACTCATTTTCTTCCTATTTGATAAATCATTGCAAGTATTCCTATTATTATTATTATTATTATTATTATTATTATTATTATTATTATCATTTTTATTTTCTTTGATTTCTGGCGTTTACACATTTCTTTCCGGGTCCCGCCAAAGGACCTAAGGTTAGAAATGGCATCATGACACGTTACACTGACAATAAAAAAAATACATAGATAAAGCCCTTCGTAAAGTGTGGGCTGTACTTGTCAGAACAATTTTTTGTATCTCTTTGAGGCATGGACTTCCAGGAATCTTAATCCCTTCAATTAGTCTACTGGAATCTATTATTATTATTATTACTGGAATATAGGTTATTTTTTTACAATGATGTTCCCCCTGTACAAGGCCCAAAAGTCATCCAAAGTAGAGAGTTACAAAGTAAGAGATACAGTTTATGAGGTTATGTTGGAAAGATAACGGTTGACCCTAGACTTGAAAAGGTTAAGATTGTAGCGATCGCGAAAACATCCTCTTGGGAGTAGATTCCACGGAGCAGTGATTCGAGGGGAGAAGCTGCTTGGGTGGAACTTAACTCTCGCCAATGAAATATGGATGGAATGTGCGTCGTTCGCTACAATATACGTAGCATGGAGGGTCCTCGCTGTCAAAGTTAGAACTGGTGAAATATATATGCAGTTCACCTGAGCACTTTCCATGGAAATAGTGATAGAGCAGTGAGAGTCTTGTGACATGTTGTCTGCAAGAAACGAATTGCAGAGTAGAAAATACGTCACTCTTTTCATGCTTTTGAACTCTATTGAGACTGGAAAGTGAAGACTGAACAGATCCTATCTATATATGGCAACAATACTCCATTTTCTGTCAGACCTAGGCTCTCGTAAAAGTAGAGGATGGAAGGAGGAGTCAGGAACTTAGTGAAGTGCTACAGGAAAACCGATCATTTTTGCAGTATCGTTAGTGATGGATCGTATGTACGAGTCTCACTTGATGTCTAGCTTGAGCTTGGGTCCCAATAGGAACTCAGGGTACGGGGCCACCCTGAGACAATACTCGTTCAGCGATTGGTGAAAATTCCGGATCTGCTCGGTGATGATGGTGCGTCAATAGCTTGGTCTTTATTATTCCTTTTTTCCAGCTCCTTATATCTTGAAAGTTTGTCAAATTAATTTGCTGAAGTATTTTATCTGACGGGATGGCCATGTCAATGTCTTCTCCTTCTGCTCACATCTATCTATCTATCTAAATCTGCACACATCTATCTATCTATCTATCTATCTATCTATCTATCTAAATCTGCACACATCTATCTATCTATCTATCTATCTATCTATCTATCTATCTATCTATCTATCTAAATCTGCACACATCTATCTATCTATCTATCTATCTATCTAAATCTGCACACATCTATCTATCTATCTAAATCTGCACACATCTATCTAAATCTGCATCTATCTATCTATCTATCTATCTATCTATCTATCTATCTATCTATATCTGAACACATCTATCTATCTAAATCTGCATACATCTATCTAAATCTGCACACATCTATCTATCTAAATCTGCATACATCTATCTAAATCTGCACACATCTATCTATCTATCTATCTATCTATCTATATCTGCACACATCTATCTATCTAAATCTGCATACATCTATCTAAATCTGCACACATCTATCTATCTATCTATATCTGCACACATCTATCTTTCTATCTATCTATATCTGCACACATCTATCTATCTATCTATCTATCTATATCTTCACACATCTATCTATCTAAATCTGCACACATCGATCTATCTATATCTGCACACATCTATCTATCTCTCTATCTATCTAAATCTGCACACATCTATCTATCTTTCTATCTATATATATCTGCACACATCTATATATCTTTCTATCTATCTATATCTGCACACATCTATCTATCTATCTATATATGCACACATCTATCTATCTATATATGCACACATCTATCTATCTATCTATCTATCTATCTAAATCTGTACACATCTATCTATCTCTTTATCTATCTATCTATCTATATCTGCACACATCTATCTATCTAAATCTGCACACATCTATCTATCTATCTATCTATCTATCTAAACCTGCACACATCTATCTATCTATCTATCTTTACAGAAACTTGTTAATCTTCCTACGCACGCTTGGTTGCATTTTAACCCTTGCCCTTCTGAGTGCCAGCGGCTATCTCACTTATTTGGTTGTCATGGCCTCAAGTAACAATACGGAACCTAATCAGAACTTCTTCGAGTTAAACCAGGTAAGAATCGGTGAGTACTCTAAAAACAAACACACATACAATTGCTATTTAACTGAAACCATTTTTCTTGTATAAATAACACGTCTCATCCAATCGATGTTTGTGCGTATATTACGTTGAACCAGGCATTCCCAGTCCAGGTCTTTTGTTTACATTTTCTTAGATTCATGTTGTATATTTACAATATGGCAGCTAAAGGAGTCAACCCACTTTAAATAAAATATCTTTCAAGACAGTATTTTAAATTATCTATAAAATATTTAAGAGGAAATGTGAAGAAACATAATTTTCTGTGAAGATTGGACTCCTGACTTTGATCTGCAAGATGAATGTGCTAACCAATGCGCCATTTCAGTCGGGATTCTTTGTGGAATTTTAATATTTCTTCATTTTATCATTTTTTAAAAAAATCACGTTTTCATTATTTTTTTTCTTCTAATTTTCAAGTGGATTTAATACATATAAAGAAAATTCAAAATCAATTTAAGCAAAAATTATTAAACAAAATATCAGTCGGTTAAGCAAAAAATAAATAAATAAATAAAAGTAAATAAAAATAAATAAAAAAATCAGTTTAAAAAAAACGAGGAAATCACTTAATTAAAAAGAACACAATTCAGAAAATAGTTAAGCATAAAAAACAATAATAATAATAAAAATACGAGACAATCAATCAATCAAATAAAATCAGGCAAAAAAAATGTATGATTTCTATAGAATAAAAACGGTTTCTTTATTACTGAAACTAATCGATGATAGTTGACATTCATGAAGGTTGCTGAAGTTCCCGCCGTCTGCAGTTACACAATATTAGCAAAATCTTAGAAGTCACTTTATAAATTTCCCATTACTTTATTTGATTCTACGTGCATGCATACACGTTAAGATTTGTTCAGGTAAAAAAAGTAATAATTTTACTTTATTTTGAAAAATGTGATATAAAATATAGATTCGACACGGATTCTTCTTAAATGTTTAATTTGGGAAAAGGTTGAGTGGAATCGGGAAGGTGGACGATTGGAACTCGTGGAGAGGTAACTGTGAGTTCAATACCCGGTTAAGGCGGTGGAGAACTCGGAGAGAGGAGTTAACAGGAGATAACTGATAACTGACATCCATTAGAGATGGCACGTGGAACTAGAACAGTCTACCCCAGCGAGCGAAATCAAGTCTAGGGTCAACCTTATCTTCCCCACATAATCTGTGTCTTTTACCCTATAGCTCTCTACCTCGAGTAGCGCTTGGGCGTTGTATAAGGTGAATCACACTGTAAAAAAAATTTAAAAAATGTGTCTTTAGGCCTAAGAATGAATCCTCTCTGGCCCACAAATCTGCTTATTAAACTTTGCTATTGTATGTGACGTGAGGCATATTTACGCTCGCTTCTTTTATCAGTCAGTATTTCCACCTGATTGTCAGCTGATTAAAAGGTGACGTTCTGCACACACACACACACACACACACACACACACACACACACACACACACATATATATATATATATATATATATATATATATATATATATATATATATATATACACGGTACCCCAAAAAATGTAGTCACTCTTTAAATGATAATAAATGCAGTGTTCTTCACTTTCAAACAAGATTAATGGTTAAAATTTAGAAATATTAATGTTTGTTGACTTAAGAAGATTAACGGTTTAAATTAAATATTAAATCAAATTAAATATTAAATCAAATTAAATGCCTATCTATATTTCTGAGATGAGTTATTATTTACATTAGTCCGACTATTGTCCTCATCTTTGTCGCTATATTTATTACGCTGTGCCATTTGTCATCAAGGACACATGGCACATTGGATAAAGGCGTTAGTTAGATCCAGTGACAGGACCCAAAGAGTGAGAGTTCAGTGGAGAATTTGGAGAGGGGAATTAACAGGAGGTTACTGATAACTGACATCCATTAAACATGGCACGTGGAACTCGAACAGTCTACCCAAGTGAGCGAAATAAAGGGTTCAGTTCGACATTGCAATCATCTGAAGACGGTCGGAGCGTACAACGGCCGAAACGTTGTAATAAATATGACGACATAGATGAGGACAATAGTCAGAATAATGTAAATAGTGTACAAATTAAATGCATATTTATAAATATTCAAACTGTCGACGAAGTCAAAATGTAAGTGCACTTTTGGGGACACCCTGTATATATGTGTGTGTGTGTGTGTATGTATGCATTAGATGCTAGCGAAACTTCGGGGAATCTGGTCATAAAAAATCATACAAACTCACATGGAAAAATAAAATAGTAAAATTGTTTCTATCACGGACTTTTGAATTCACTGTCCACTGACTTTTCTTTTACTGCGCTACCATTTAGAATTTGGCCTTCTTTGCTAAATATTTCTGACAATGCAGTAGAAAAACTTTATAATTAAACACTTAATTATACAATTCTTTTACTGAACCTGATGTGGGGCCAAATTTGGGACCACAGAAGGAAAACACGGAACACGGATTAGATGTAAGAAAGATATATTAACAACAGGTTACAGAGATAGTGTAAGCGGAGCTTACTATATGTTAGTGTCCAATACTGGTAGTCGTGCGAGGCTCTCACTGTCTCTCTGTCTCTCTCTGTCTCCAGAGTGTCGCATACTTAATATAGATCTGGAAGAGTCTATTGTGTAGGTAGTTCCTGGTCTCACAATAGAACCAATATTGAAAATGTAAACGTTGTTGATAGATTTGAGTTGTTATGCACACACACACACACACACACATATATATATATATATATATATATATATATATATATATAGAGAGAGAGAGAGAGAGAGAGAGAGGATAATGGGAAACCACTTTACTACCTTTCCCAAGAATGCGTGGTGGTGGAGTGGTTTCCTGTTCTCTTCTTCAATTTGAAACAGTATACAGTATTAAACGTATATATATATATATATATATATATATATATATATATATAGAGAGAGAGAGAGAGAGAGATGTGTGTGTGTGTGTTTTTGCGTCATAAAAAATAAAAAATAAACTCATTCGTTATTGACGTTCACTAATTTGAACGCATGTCATTTTCAACGTTTTTCAGGGTGATATCTTTGTTCGGTAATAGCAGAGCCATTACGCACCTGCTAATGTTAAACTCTAGTGAGATAAGGAGAGAAAGGGGAGTGTGTGTGTGTGTGTGTGTGTGTGAGAGAGAGAGAGAGAGAGAGAGAGATTAGAGGGAAACTGTGTGTACGTGTATGACATTGAGTAAGACTTCCGGGATTGATCCATTGAATTAATGTGCATGAACACTGAAGAACATCTCCATTCACTTATTTCTATTATTGATCATTGCCATGACAAGAGAGGAGCGAAAACTACAATATATTAAAACATGGAAGAACACTTAGTATTTAAATCTCAGGCAAAATTATCACTGGCCAAAATGAACAGGAAGAAAGCAGCAGGACCGGATGAGATTATAATAGAGATGCTATCAGCCGATTCGACAAGATTACAGGAATTATGAAATATATGACAGCGGTGAAATACCGGAAGATCTCAATAGACTTTAACGAACTCTATAACTAAGCTTATTGTAATGAATAAAGATGACAGTACAATTAAATTGGAAGGAGAGTAAGCACAGCGGCTTTGTTCATGACACTAAAGCAAGACATGATATATTTATTAGCAAGAGCTAACAATAGAAATACAGAAAGACGTGTGTCTATGTTTCATAGATTACCAAAAAACATCTGATAAAAAATACGACCCAAAGGTTTATTTGAAAAACTAGAAAAGTTTGATTTGCATGGGAAAGATATTCTCTATTGCGAACAAGCAGTCTGCATGCTAAAAGAGAGCGAGTTCACTGACTACACATAGAAAGAGGGGTTAAGACGTTGATACATTTTCTTAACTAGGACGGAAAATAATTAGGTAATCAAGATATTGACTTGTCACATTACTTCAAGCAAAATGTTAGGAAGGAAACAGCACTAAAAATAGTGATAACAGTTAGTAGACTTCATAAAGCTATTTTCCTGAAAAACTTTTTTAAGAGAAAGATTTTATAAATTTCAACCGCTGTTTGGTCAATGAATACCGAATGTTTCCTTATAAGAAAACGGCTAATTACACTGAGGGCCATTGCAAGGATCTCATGCCCCAACACAGAATCTATGATACGCACCGCAATACAGACCCACCTACTCTATTAATTCAATCTTTCTAAGGTAGTAATCATATAGAATATAAATTGTATTATAACCTAATTATGTATAATAATGGATCATATACAATATAGGTGAACAATTCAACTATAAAAATTGAAACTAAATACAATGTATTCAAATATATATTAGAGACACGTCATAAGAGATCATTCCATCTTAGATAAATTAACAATGTTTTGCGGCAATTTTTAACATCAACTTGAGATTTTCCTTTTAAGAAGTTGAATAATTTATCACATTTAACATTGTGAATTTTATATAGTGTTTTTACGAGACATAACAGGGGCAAAATAAATTCACGGACTTGGAAAGAAAAATAAATCCGTTAAAACTTTTCCATCGTTTTATAATATTATTTTAACTAGTGTGTTTAATTTGAAAAAAGCAAATGTTGATAAGATAGTAAGGGTCACAAAGCACTACCCGGGACTCTCAATCTGGCTTGAACACTCTCGTCGGGAGGTTTTTGAGGTAAGACGTGCCGGCCCTGATTGCACAATTACCCTGACCATACAATGAGACGAACCAAAGAGAACTTGAAGACCAACCAGTATTTACTATCAGCGGACATAATCCTAACAACATACGCAGATGACACCAAATTGAGAGCAGATCCAGAAAAAAAAAAGAACTCCGTTAAATTTCTGTACTTGCTTGATTTTGACGCCTCTAATTTGTAGCTCACATTTTGAATTACCCAACTTGCAAGCACGTACTCTAGAAACCACATAAATTCTTGTTTCTGTTTGTCGCATTCTGTAAATCTAAAAAAAAATGTTCATTTT